CGAGTGTACCACGTGCATGAGTGTACCATGAGAAATTTTGGAAACCTGTCATGTACTCTCGGTTGTCTTCAAACTAAGCAAGAACAGTGAGGGAAACTGCAAAAAATTTTGAAGAAGAATGACTAGATGTTGCCTGTGGGAAAATAATCATCCGTGGGTTCCTGGTGCCTATTTCGTATAACTTTGTATTGGGCTCCTGCATCTGGGAAGCCGGCGACAGCCCTTGCTTGTGCCAAATAAAACAGCTTTGTCCTGAGGGTGCCACGAAATTCTTTGTTACGAACATCTCTCTGTTGAGTGGAGGAGCACAATGTCTTTTTCACCTGTGCTTGAAGGCATCTCAGGTGCTTTGGGTACCTGGAAAAGAAGGAGCACTTGCAGCCTGCCCAGACGCACCTTCTTCTCTCTCCTGAATTCTCTTCCACCCGTACGGAGCACCAGCTTTTCCGAGCTGAGCGCTCCCTGGCTGGCTGCTTTCGTGCAGCTCCGATTTATTTTCGTATGGATTTAGAACCGGGGATCTTCCCACCAAACGCTGTTCGAAACATCCCCCATTGAGTCTCTCACTCTCAACACCCTCCTGTCAGGGCTTTCATATTGCTTCTTCATCCTCCCTCCTCCTAAGGGGATGGTGAGGATGGTTTTCTCTGCCTCCTCAAGGAGGATCAAAATAATTTCCTCGAGCTTCTTTTTAAAATAGAAAAAGAAACTGAACTTTTTCGCAAGCGACTTTCACCTCACGTTCTTTGATCTCACAATTGCTGTCTTTGGGGTCTTTCTCATCCTTCAAAACTCTTTTCCCCCCTGTTCTTTGCCATTCATTCCCTTTCTCGCTTCCAAAGAAGTTGTTGAGGGTGATGATGATGATGATGACAATTCCAAGTCCAGAAGCAACTTATAGCCGACACCCCAGACAGACCATTTTGGCTACTCCAGAAACTTCAGGTCATTGAACTACTTGGAATCCTTTGAAAATAAAATTATTTCCAGTATTTAAGCCCACAAATATATGTATATATTTAACCAGTTTGGCACCTCTTTATCTCTAAGAAATGCTTGAATATTTAGGATTCTCTTCTCTCCCCCCCTTTCCTTTCCCCCCTTCCTTTTCTGGCAAGCAGGAAAAAAATCTGGCTATTCCCTTTCCATAAAAAAACAGGTAAAAAAAATCCACTTACCTGTGATTCTGCAGTGAAGCCAGAAGTGTGAGCTCTCACTTCAGCTTTGAAAAACTAGCCTCTCTCTTCCCCTCCCTCCCTCCCTCTCTCAATCTCTCCCCCCACCAACTCTCAAGATAAGGAGAAAGCGATCAGGTGCATTTTTTTAAAAAAAATCCTTGCCTTTGATTCTTGCTAAAGAATCCCTGGTGATAACAGGGTGGGTTTTTCTCCCCTATTTCCTTATGTTTTTCTTAATGCAAACACTCTTTCTTCTGCTCTTTCCCCACTGGACTTCATATATATATATATATATATGGAGGTGGATACTAGGGCTTCAAGCGTAAATCCACGGAGGTAGGGATCTTATTAGGATGTGATTTTGTTTGAATGAAGTCAGACAGGCTGAAAACGTCACAGAAGAGAAACATCTCTCTCTCTCTCTCTCTTCCCCCCTCTGCCAGGTATTTGGTTTTCATTTTGGGTGGTGGCAGTGGTTGTTATAGCCTCTTGCATCAATGGCTTTCCATCAGAAGTAACTTTTAACCCCACCCTGAAGAAACAGGGCCCTCTTTCATTGATTTTTTGTGATTCTATCTATCTATCTATCTATCTATCTATCTATCTATCTATCTATCTATCTATCTATCTATCTATCTATCTATCTATCTATCTATCTATCTATCTATCTATCTATCTATCTATCTATCTATCTATCTATCTATCTATCTATCTATCTATCTATCTATCTATCTATCTATCTATCTATCTATCTATCTATCTATCTATCTATCTATCTATCTATCTATCTATCTATCTATCTATCTATCTATCTATCTATCTATCTATCTATCTATCTATCTATCTATCTATCTATCTATCTATCTATCTATCTATCTATCTATCTATCTATCTATCTATCTATCTATCTATCTATCTATCTATCTATCTATCTATCTATCTATCTATCTATCTATCTATCTATCTATCTATCTATCTATCTATCTATCTATCTATCTATCTATCTATCTATCTATCTATCTATCTATCTATCCCATATTCTTTCTTTCTTATCTATCTAATCCATATTCATTCTCTCTCTCTCTCTCACTCACTGGTATATTACTGTACACTGTCTATAAGCTGGCCTTACAGTAGGGAAAGTGAGGCAGCTGCCTCAGGTGGCTGATGCTTGGGGCAGTAACAACCCAGTCTTTCCTCGGCCCCCTAAAAATGGCCTCTGGTGTGGTGGAAGATCCAGCCAGCCCTTCGTTCTCTCTCTTGTTCTCAACCAAAAGCTTCAAAGGACTAGAATGCCAAAAAGTGCTTGCTATAATAAACACAGTCGTCTTTAAGTTGCCACTGAATTCTTGGCTGGTTCTGAAATGATTCAAGAGGACCAGCACCTTTCCTGTGGAGAAAGGCAAAACGGTTTGGAGCTGTTCTGTGGGAGAAACATGAGGCAATGTGTGGCTTTCCAAATTACAAATGGGTGTGAGAGATTGGATAGTGTAATTCCGTCCTTTCCATCCTTTCCGTCCTTTCCGTCCATCATGCCAGACAGTACAAATTCAAAAAGCTCCTTTTTTCACTGCAGATCCCCAAACCCTGTAGTCAAGACTTGAAATGTAGTCCTATGGAGGAAGGGCGGGATCTGTCCCCAATCATCCCAGAGTGCAGGACAGGTAAGTATGGGCTCAGGTTACAGCAAGCCAGATTTCGACTGAATGTCAGGAAAAACTTCCTAACTGTTAGAGTAGTACAACGGTGGAATCATTTACCTCGGGAGTTGGTGAGTGCTCCAGGCGCTCCAACATTGGAGGCATTCAAAAAAAAAAAAACTTAGATAATCACCCGGCAGATCTGCTTTGATTGTATTCCCGCCTTGAGCAGGGGGTTGGACTTGATGGCCTTGTAGGCCCCTCCCAACTTCACTTTTCTATGATTTCTATGATTTCTGAGCCCCTGAAAAAATTCTGCGCTCCATTCTCCCTTTTGCCTGCCATACTTTCATGGCCGTGCAAATATCTAGCTCTCCCATCACAACGAAAGGGCCTGATTCAGGCCTCTAACATTGGCCCAGATCTCCGTCTCAGACAGTGGGCTGTGGCTGACTGGGCAAACCCAATACTAGATCCACTTCAAGAAAGGTGCCTGGTGCCCACGCCGGCGAGGAGATTCTGGACTCTAAATTTGAAGCAATCTGTCTAGGCATCATACATGACACCTTGCTGAGCTTTGCTCCTCCTGTCAATAGGAGAACGACTATTTCCTACCTTTCGATGATATCGTGTTTATTCACATCCATTATATTTATTTACTTAGGGTGTGAAAGCTAGACAGTCAAGAAAGCTGAGAGGGAAAAAATTGATTTCTTGGAAATGTTGTACGGGAGGAGAGCTCTGTGGATAACCGGGAAAGAGAAGTGGGTCCCAGACCAAATCAAGCCTGAGCTTTCTCTGGAGGCAAAAATGTCAAAACTGAGGTTGTCCTCCTTTAGGTACGTCCTGAGAAGGCAGGATTCTCTGGAAAATACCATCATGATGCGAAAGATGGAAAGCAGGAGGAAAAGAGGAAGACTCAATGTGAGATGGACGGACTCCCTAAAAGAAACCGTAGGCTTGAGTTTGCAAGAGCTGAGCAGGGAACTTTGCTCCGTCATACGGTCGGGTGCAACTTGACAGCATTTCAACCACCTCGATCCACTGCCTTTAGCTCTTGAAGCGAAGAATACATTTCTTTGCAAATAGTATTTGTGCCCTTTAACTAATAGGATGTCATAAAATGGATCTCTTCTTATGTGCCATCAAGGAATTTCCAACGTCATAAAAAGCAGGGACCTCACCTTGCCAACAAAGGTCCGCATAGTCAAAGCTATGGTTTTTCCTGTAGCGATGTATGGAAGTCAGAGCTGGACCATCAAGAAGGCTGACTGCCGAAGAATTGATGCTTTTGAATTGTGGCGCTGGAGGAGGCTCTTGAGAGTCCCCTGGACTGCAGGGAGAACAAACCTATCCATTCTGAAGGAAATCAACCCTGAGTGCTCCCTGGAAGGACAGATCCTGAAGCTGAGGCTCCAATACTTTGGCCATCTCATGAGAAGAGAAGACTCCCTGGAAAAGACCCAGTGACTTTCCATGGTGATGCGGAGATTTGAACCCAGGTTTCTTGGTCCCGTGACCAACATCTCTCCCCTACGTCACACTGTCTCTCTCATGACATGTGCACGTTTGACTCACTTTCCTAGGAGTGACGTAACAAATCTGACACAATGTGCTGCTCTTGAATTGGCCCTGTAAGAATTTCCCTTTAGGAAATAAGTACAAAGACGGTATTTTCAGGTGCCGGACGCAATGGTTTCAGCTCAGAGATGATTTTGTTAAAGTGACGTCAGAACAGGAGGTGATAGACTATTTTTTAAACATAGAATAATAAAGAGGTGGGTACCCATCATCTCTCTCTTATCTCCCCCAATCAGTGTGAAGTGTAAATGGGAAATAGATTATGCACTCTGTTTGAAGTAGCCCTTAAACATGTTGGCAATTCAACCAAAAGATTTTTTAAATCCATTTTACAAAGGGCACCAATGACTTGTTACTGTTTGCACATGCGACACAGGGATGTTTTGCTCAAAGAAATACAGCTAGAACCCATCACCATTTCAGAAGCTCTTTGCTAATTGCAGGGGGTTCAACAACTAACAAACTACAAAGCAAAAAAGGTTTCCTCAGGCGGAGGTGTGGAGGTGGCTGAGGAGTTGAACAACTTTTTTGCTCGATTCGAGATCGATCAAACTGAAAGTGTTCGTTTGCCATCATTTACTCAGCAGAGTCCCCCCTTCATTGTGAATGAGCAGGATGTGAGACAGACTATGAAAGTGGTTAACTCCAGAAAAGCAGCTGGACCCGACTTAATTCCTGGTCGGGTGGTAAAAGACTGTGCTGATCAGCTAGCCGGGATATGGACTGTAATTTTTAATAGATCCCTGACACTATGCGCAGTTCCCGTCTGTCTCAAGGCTTCCGTCATCGTTCCACTGCCTAAAAAGTTGCCTACAAACAGTCCGAATGGTAATAGGATTATCAAATTTGCAGACGATACTACACTAGTAGGACTTATCTCTGGGGATGATGAGTCTGCGTATCGGGACGAGGTATTACAGCTATCCCGCTGGTGCAAAAAAACCAATCTTTTATTTAACATCCAAAAAACCAAGGAATTCATAGTGGACTATAGGAAAAAAAGAGCAGACATTCAGCCACTGTATATAGATGGAGTTTGTGTGGAACAGGTGGTTGAATGTAAGTTTCTTGGGACTATCATAACAAATGACCTGACTTGGAGTGCAAACACCGCTGCGTTAATCAGGAAGGCACAACAACGGTTGTATTTTCTAAGGATTCTTAGAAAGCAACAATTGACTGAGAGTTTGTTAATCACCTTCTATCGGAGTTCGATTGAGAGCATATTATCCTACTGTCTCTGTGTATGGTTCACGAGCTGCACAGTGGCAGAGAAAAAGGCAATTCAAAGGGTGATTAAGACGGCCCAAAACATCATTGGCTGTTCACTCCTCTCTTTGGAAGAATTGTATAAGAACAGATGTAAGAGGAAGATATCTAACATACTGAAAGACTCCTCTCATCCGGGACATCAGCTCTTTAAATTATTACCATCAGGAAGGAGATTCAGGGTATTGAAAGCAAGGACAAGCAGATTCAAGAACAGTTTTTACCCAAGTGCAGTATTGAGTTTAAATGCGGGGCCATAGGTTTTTGGTGGAATTTTAATTGCTGAGAGAAAACGGGGTATCTATATTTGGATGGTGAAAGTTGTGTATATTTTAACTTTTTTTTGTAGTGTTGTCCAGTTTTACCTTGGGGAAGAGCACCTCATTTCGTTGCACCCACTTGTGAGCGCAATGACAAATAAATTTCTTATGTCTTATGTCTTATGTCTAATTCTCTCCGGAGGCGAGAGATCTCTGTCTATCTCCAGCTGAGTTAGGATCTGGAGAAACCCTCTACTTGGGGGCGAGACTATCTCAGTCCCGAACCCACAGACAGGAACCCCATGGGCTCAAAGCTGTG